GCAGCTCAGGTGACGTCCCCTTCTCACCTACCGCAACCTCAACAGAAGTAGCTGAGAATGGAGGTTTTTAAGATTCCCCGGTCAGGAAGTCGAGGCCAGTTCTAGGAAGCGCTGAAACCGAAGGTTGTGAGGCGTCTAGAGGTGTTGTAGGAGGGGCGTCTGTACGAGAGTCTGAAGCCATATTGCTGATTGGAGGAAATGCAGTCTGGTGTGGTGGTGTGGTGTGACGTTGCCTAGATTGGAATGAACAATGACGCAGAGGAGGTACGTGACGACGATGGATGGAAGGGAAGGGAAGGTCGCGATGAAGTGGTGGCACCGTCTCCGAGCCTCGAAGCGCATTGTGGTGGTGGGATGTGCCACACTCGAAGCTGTCTGCCTTGCGCTAGCAGGAAAATGCCGAAAAAGGTTGGCATCTTTTGTGCAAGCGGTGGGAATTTGGCAACATTTGACGTCACATGTTGCCACCAGCGAGTTCGGGTGGCGCGATTCCTCGGGAAATGGTGGGCAACTGGCCAAGTGGGTAAAGTTGTTGGTATCAGACAAAACAATACGTGTTGTCCGCAGATTCAGACGAAATGGAATAGCTTGTCTGTAAAATCAGACGAACTTAAACTGCTTGTCCATTGATTCAGACGAAAATTAACACAAGGTCTAAGAATTCAGATGAATCAGGCAAAATGAGTCTGAAATCCATACAATCAGACGGAAAAAAAAAAACTGATGACGAGGTCCCTGACCGTATTCCCCTGGATATAAGACCCCCCCAAATTAGAACACCCCCGGGTAGCTAATTACAACACGAGGCTATATATAGGCTCGACACAAGGCCAGTAACCCGGGAGTTACTAGAAGGTTCCGCGGGTCGCGAAGCGTCCCGAGGTCCTTCCCGAATTCGGTAGAAGCAATTCGGTGGCAACCGAAAAGCCTAGAATTTGGTGCACGCAACCTAGAATGGTGCTATAACTTTTATAAATATAGAAAACAACGATTCTAACGAAAACGAGAAAACGCATTCACAATAAGGCTATACAAGATAAAGCATAATAAGGTAAATCCAAGTAGCCAGAGCCGTCGTACTCTCAAACGTCCCCCCCTGAAAGCTGGGTGGCGTGAGAAACACCCTTCTTGAAAAGATAATCTTTGAGAGCACGGCGTGCATTGCCCATATCAGCTTCTGCAACCCAACTGTCCTCTAACGGGTCATATCCCTTCCAGCGTATCAGGAACTCGAGCGTCGTGCCGCGTCTTGGTCGATGAGTGAGAACTCGTTCCACCTCGTACTCTGGTTCATCCTGTCCGAGAACATGTGGTGGTGGCGTTGTCCCATGAACTGTTGGTTGGGGTCCTTGTAGGGCTTCAGTAGCTGAACATAGAAAGCGTTGTGAAGCTTCCACGTAGATGGTAAGCACAAGAGGAATGTAACTGTAGTCACCATCGCCTCAACGCGAAAGGGACCACTGAAGCGAGGCCGGAGTATGGACGGTAGATGAGACAAGTCCAAGTTGCGTGTGTCAAGAAGTACATGACCTCCGACTACTACTCTGTGATCTCGTCGCTGACGGCATACTGCTTCTGGGAGTTTTGCATCGTGGTGAGACGTCGCCGAGTCTTCTCCCATCACTTTTGCATGATGGTGACGAAGTCATGTCCTGCTTGGACGTGTGCCGGTGTGGTTGGCTGTTGTGGTGTAAGTGGTTCCCGTCTGTAAGACAGGAAGAAAGGAGATTTCCCTGTGGCTGCGTGTCAAGCATTGTTGTAAGCGAACTCAAGTGTCGGTAGCTGTAGATCCTAGTGGCTGATGTCGTCTTTGCAAGCTGTGCGCAATAACTGTTCAACCACCTGATTGAGTCGCTCACTATGTCTGTTAGTCTAGGGGTGGTATGCTGAAGACATCGCAAGCTTTGTCCCCAACAAACCCATGAGTTCCTGTCCGAGTGAACTTTGGGTCCATGTCCGAGATTAGTGTAGCGGGGATGTCATGGATGGTGATGATGCGGTCGAAGAAGAGGCGAGCATTTGCTTGAGCAGTAGCGGTGGCATTGGTCGGGATGAAATGTCACATTTTAGAGAACTTATCGATCACCACGAGTATAGCATCATGCCCTCGTGAGGTCGAAGGTAGCCCAGTAATGAAGTCTAGGCTAACAACCTGCCATGGCTGCTCCGCTGCGGGTGAGGCTGATGTAATCCTGCTTTATTTTTCTTGCTACTCTTCATCCGCTGGCACATGTCGCATGAGGTGACGAACTGCTGCACGTTTGCTGCCATCCGGGGCCAGTAGTAATACTTAGCTATCCCTGCTAACGTCTTGCTACTCCCGAAATGTCCCACGTATGTGTCACATCATATGCACTCCGTGCATACGTTATAACAGTAGAAGGCAGGTGTAGTCATGATACTAAGATAAGAACTATATGTGTAGGAATGCTTATATAGTAACAATAGCATAGGGGTGTAGAATGTAGCAATATGACTGTTGTAGAAGGGGGGAACCGAATTGACACGGTTGGGATCACGGGGGAAAAGTGTGAAAATAGTAGGTAGAGTTAGGAGCCATAGCTAGGTAAGTCCTAGCTAGGCAAGAGAAGTTTAGGCAAAAAAGAGGAGTTCACTAGCAGCAATGAGGATACATATAGCAAACCCTAGATGGGTTGTACTCGCTATAGAGCACCCCACTACAGGCTAGAGAATAACATTCTGACACACCCCCATAGCCAAAGTGGGGTGTAATCAGTACAATGAGCAAGCAGGTATAGAGCAGGAGTTCACAAAGGTAAGCAAAGCTAGAGCTAATCACAGCGAGCAAGTGAGGAGGAGGAGGAGCTGTGGAGGTAGAGAAGATGGGAGGCAACGACTGAAGCTGCAGAGGCACGGGCACAGGAGCGGCTGACTCAGAGGCTACCGAAGCAAGGGCGACGGACTACTGGAGTAACTGGCTCGGCGGCTATAGAAGAGCGGCAGGAGCAACGGACCCACTGGCGACTGGTGCAGCAGGCTCACTGGCTACCGAAGCAAGGGCGACGGACTACAGGCGCTGCAGGCGACACGACAGGTACCTCCACACAACCTCCTCCAACTGCCCCACACCCTCGACACACACCCACTGCTCAAACCCTAGCTCCACTCCCACGCACCCCCCTAAAACCCTAAACCCTAGGCTCCCACACACCCACCCCCCTCAGCGGCAGCTGCAGCAGTGGGAGACCAGGGAGGAGGAGGAGCAAGGGGAGTAACACACAACCACCACCCCCACACTCCTCACCCCCAAACCCTAATTCAGGAGAACGGGCAGCAGTAGGGGTGGGGCACCGTCAGAAGCACGGGGGACAGCGAGCAGCTCAGGGACAGAGAGGAACGGGCCGCCCACGGGCCTGGCACAGCCCGACGAACCGCGCGCAGGCGGCCCGAGCCGCGCGCGGGCCTGGCGCAGCCCGTACGGGCCGCGCGCGGGCCTGGCGCAGCCCGTACGGGCCGCGCGCGGGCCTGGCGCAGCCCATACGGGCCGCGCGCGGGCCGGGCGCAGCCCGTACGGGCCGCGCTCGGGGCTGGCGCAGCCCGCGCTGGCCAGGACGGGCGACAGGGGACGACGGGCTGGTCCCCGTCGCCCGTCGAAGTGCCCCCCGGGGGCGACGCGCGGACCGACGGGGCAGAAGGCCGCCGCGCGCCTCGGGGCGCACGGCGGGCAGAGAACCGCCGCACGCCCCGGGGCGCACGGCGGGCAGAAAACCGCCGCGCGCCTCGGGGCGCACGGCGGGCAGAAAACCGCCGCACGCTCCGAGCGCGCGGCGGGATGAAAAATCCGTCGCACGCCACGGGGCGTGCGACACAGAGAGTGGCAGTAGCAGCGGAAGCAGTGAGGTGGTGAGCCCACCCACAGGATCGACCCAAGGGGATCGACCTGCTCTGATAGCATGTGAAAATAGTAGGTAGAGTTAGGAGCCATAGCTAGGTAAGTCCTAGCTAGGCAAGAGAAGTTTAGGCAAAAAAGAGGAGTTCACTAGCAGCAATGAGGATACATATAGCAAACCCTAGATGGGTTGTACTCGCTATAGAGCACCCCACTACAGGCTAGAGAATAACATTCTGACAAAAAGGACCGAAGGGCGAATTGTGTAACCAGGGGACACCAATCCCGAGCCGCATCGTTGGGAAAACGTGCAGCTTGGGACTAGGTAAGGTCCCTCACACACACCCCCTTCCTTGCCTTAGGCTTGTTATTCTCTCGAAGTAGTGAAGATTGTCATCTAAGCTCTAGCACACCGTGGCACGTCACTAAGAGAGGAACCTACGGGGTGAGGGATTGAACTCTTTCATAACAAGCCTAAGGCCTGAACCGGCGCAATTATGGATAAGTACGAGCTGCGTTGGGGTAGGATGTTTAGCCGTCGCGAGGAAGAACGGCCGCGAAGCGAGCCGTCACGCGAGCGAGGGCGATCGGTAGAGAGATCGCCACGTAGGCCAGCCTTCCGCGCAGATCGAGTTCCCTTAGCCAGTGACCGTCGGGAAGAAGCAGCGACGGGCGAGGGAGCAGGCAATGCGGGCCGTGGCGGAGGCGGAGAGAGAGACGCGTGGCTGCGCGACCGATCCCGCGGAATCGACGGAGGAGGCGGATCTCGCCGCGAGGAAGGGAGGTTCCGCTCCCCAGAGGGGCGAGGACGGCGACGCGACGAACGCGGCCGTTGGCAGGGCTTCGGGGAACTTCCCCGGGAACGAGAAGGACATGCGCGCGGCGACGGCCACGCGGAGGGCGCACCGGAAGGCACGGCGCCAGAGGTGGACGGAGCACTGGACGCAGAGGTGGACGAGGAGGGCCAGAGGCTGCAGGATGAAGGCGCCGAGGAGGGAGATGGCGACGAAGACTAGGCCGCGGACTTCGACGAGCACGCCGAATACGCCGAACACGCACAGGCGGACGAGGACGCTGGCGCGAGCCAGGTGGAGGGATCTCACGGCCGAGGCGCCAGCCGCGGGGAAGAGCAGCGCGCGGAGGACGTGCTTCAGCAGGAGCGAATGGCCCAAGATGAGAGGGAGCGCGAGACGGGGAGACAAAGGCAGCGTGGCGGAGAAAGGGCGGAGCGGTTCCACGCGCCAGAAGGAGAGCAGCGGCACGGAGATGGGCGTGGGGGGGGGTTCCCGGGCGCACGACCGACGGGGAGAGCAGGGAGATTGGAGTGGCGGCGGCGGGCACTCGCTGGAGCGGCAGCAGGCGCGCGGGAATTGGTGGGAGGATGAGCCGCGCTCTCCAGAGACATACGGGCGCCCAGGGAGGAGAGGCCGGGCGGAGCAGTGGTCGCAGGAGCAGCGCGGGAGCCAGCCAGTGGAGCGCAGCAGCGCGATGCGCGGGCAGGAGCGGCCAAGGCAGGGAGGGAGGAAGGACAACAGCGGGTCCCGTTCGCCAGAGGGGCGTCGCCAGAGAAGGGGCAAGGAGGAAGGAGAGTGGCACTCGCCTGAGCACCGCCAACAGCGCAGCGGACGCGGGGAGGCCTGGTCACCGTCGCCAGAAAGACGGAGGCACCGCGAGACAAGCAGAGGAGAGGGGCGGAGGATGCATGGCCCGCCAACACAGCAATGGGCTCAGGCAGAGGAGTGGGGAGGGCCAAAAGAAAGGCCTCGCGCGGCGGAGTGGAGTCGGCCAGAGAGTGGGAGCCTGGTGTACGGCGCGGAGCGGGCACGTGAAGCCAGAGAGGGCATGTTAAAGGCAAGGGCGAGAGGGGCGGGGAGCAGTCGGCCGGGCGGATATAGCGAATCGTGGGGGGAGGGGCGGGGGGGTGCTGCTGGCGCGCCTCGAGTGGAGGTGCCCGCCAGGTTCTCAGGAGACCAACGCGCGGGGCCGACCCTCAAAAACTACTTGATGCAAGTGGGGAATCTGCGGTACCGCTGCGATAGGCACAATGTGGACCCCATTGAATTTTTCCTGAGTTTACCCAACACGTTAGAGGGAGAGGCAGAGACGCTGTACCGCATGCGGATGGAAGAATTGCTATGGAAGGCGGGGAAGTATGGGGAGGACCCCACCGAGGCGTTTCTGGAGCGGCTACAGCGGCAGTTCCCAGGGCATACGGCGGAGCGGATAAGGGAGTTCCAAGAGTTCCGGAGGGGACGGGCGGAGTCACTGCTGACCTACTACAACAGGTTGATCAATGTGGCAGAGGACGTGAAGTGTGCAGACAACAGCCTGCTCATTAGCAAGTTCTTGGGAGGCTTGGACGAGGCACTGGGGGGGGGGCTGCGGATGAGGGTATATGAGTTAGGGGTAGAGGCGGCTCTGGAGGAGGTGTTCGAGTTGGCCGAGAAGGTAGAGCTGGCGCAGCGGAAGTATGAAGCCTACCTCCCGAAGCCGACAGAGAGAAGCCGCAGGCCAACCTGGGTGGCAGCCATGATACCTGAGGAGAAGGGGAGGGTAGACCCGCGAGGGGAGATGCGGGCAGATACCCGCACTTTCCACCGCTGCGGGCAGGTGGGGCACCTCCGCAGGGACTGCAAGGTTTGTGATGGCTGCGGGAAATCAGGGCACCGAAAGAGAGAATGTCCAGATGCAGCCAAGTGCGAGATCTGTGGGAAGAAGGGGCATGATGCCAAGGACTGCTATCAGAAGGAAGGGGGAGTGAGGAGGAATCCAGAGGAGCTGCAAAGGCAGATCAGCAGGTTACAGTCTCAGCTGCAAGCCATGGGGCCGAGGTGGGAGGCCGAGGCAGGGATGTACGCCAGGGATGACGAAGGGGAGGAGGTGGAGCCGGATGCTCAGTGTGCTCTGATGGCATGGAGGGGGAGAGAAAAGATGGGGCTGCGGAGCGGGGGACGGGATGCTAGGCAGGAACACAGCAGGAAGGAACGGGAACGCGGACACAAGCCCGACCCTGTGGCGCAGGAGAAACCACCTGCCCGCCACCCACAGGAGAGACTGGCATGTCAGACTTCGGTACTACTGGTGGGGGCAGGAGCTATGGAGGTAGAGGGGAAGAAGGTGAAGACGGCCATCATTGACACAGGGGCACAGAGTGTGATGCTGGGCAAGGGAATGGCTGAACGGCTAGGACTGATGGCCCCAGAGAGGCAAGTGGCAAAGGGCATGTTGGTGATGACAGCAGAAGGGGGGGAGCCGAAGTGGATGCCATGTACACGGACACCCATAGAGCTGACCCTATTGCCAGGAGGGGAGCACGAAACCCGGATCAGGATGAAGTGCGGGATTTCAGAGTCCGAAGACTTTGATGTGTTGGTAGGGACAGAGATGGTGTTTGCGGTGGGCATGAGCATTTGCACCTGGATGGAGAAGGTGGAGTTTCGTACGAGGTATTGGAAGAAGGAGGGGCCCTTGGGGCAACTGCCGGTGCAATTCGTTAGGGTGGAGCCGAAGAGGGCATATCAGGCCAGTGCAAGGGAGGCAGTGGGAAGGCAGCAGACGGGGGGACAGGTGGGGGCAGAGGAGATCAGGGAGGGGCCCAGGATGAAGCTGATGGATGCCCCGGGGAAGCAGAGCGACTGGCAGCAGCCAATTCGCCTGGTGGAGCTGTTCGGGGGAATTGGAGCAGGGCTGGCGGCGGTGGTGCAGAATGGGATAGCGGTGCAGCAGTGGATATATGTAGAACGAGCGCCAGAGGTGAGGAAGATGGCGGAGCATCACGCATGGAAGTTGCAGGCCGAGTTCCCAGAGCTCCTGAGCGCAGAGGTGATTCGGGATGCCATGAGCAGCACCCTCCATGACGTGAGCCAGGTGACAGAGGCGCATGTGGCCAGCTGGGGGCAAGTAGATCTATTGGTGGCGGGATGGGAATGTCAAGGGGTGTCATGGGCTGGAAAGGGGAAGGGAGGGGAAGACCCGAGAACGAAGCTGATGGAGAGTCTGTTCCGCATCTTGGAATGGCTGCAAGAGAGGCAGGGAAGGGTGGCGTACCTGCTAGAGAATCTGGACCTGGAAGGAGACTGCCGCGAGCCGATTCGGCTGGTCAGGGAGAGAATCAGCAAACAGTTGGGGAAGGGGATCAGCTGTGACGCAGCTAGGGCGGGGTCTTATGCACATCGGCTCAGGATGTATTGGCAGAACGTCGTCCCGGTGCTGAAACTGCAAGAAGAGGTGGAGGGGGTGAGGAGAGCGGCGAGCAGGAGGGTGCAGGACATTTTGGAACCAGGGCGGACTCCTGCACCAGTGCGCCAGAGGGGATACAGCAAGCACTACCCGTGCAACCAGGTGGGACGAGAGAGGAGAGCCCTGCCCACCTTGGTGTCGTATGTGGGCGCAGCCGGCTACAAGTGGGATGGGGGAAAGCCGGGGCCAGGACTGGTATATGATCACAGGCAGGGGCGGTGGGAGGAACCTACGGCGCTAGAAAGAGAGTTGGCCATGGGGTACGGGCAGAATGTGACAGTAGCCCCAAGGGTGAGTGAGGAGGAGAGGAGGAGGGCGCTGGGGAACGCCATGGATGGGTATATGATGAGGTGGCTAGTTCAAAGGATGTGGAGGGAGACGGTCTTGATCTGGGGGCATGAAGCAGAGGGAGGGGAGGCAGCAGCAGTACCACAAGGAGCGTGGACCTGCAGGGAGGAAGAGAGACCGCAGTGGACAGTGGGGGAGGCGATGAGTGAGGAAGGCAGGGAGGCAATGCAGGAGCTGCTACACAAGCACCGGAAGTGCTTTGCCTTCACGCTGCAGGAGTTGGGGAGGTGCAAGGTGAAGGAGATGGAGCTGAAATTGAATAGCACGGAGCCGGTGTTTCACCGCAGGAGGAAGATGCCGCCCGGGGATGAGGAAATATGCAAAGAGAAGATTAAGGAGCTGCTGGAAGCAGGACTGATTAGGCGCTCCGAATCTGAGTACGCCACGCCGACGGTAGTGGCTGCGAGGAAGGACCTGACAGGGGAGGTACTAAGCAGGAGGATGTGTGGCGACTACAGGGCGCTCAACAAAATCACCATAGCAGACAGGTACCCGATGCCGATGGCGGAAGAAATCTTCGACAAGTTAGCTGAGGGGGTCTTCTTCACTACGCTGGACCTGCGGCAGGGGTTCAATCAGATCAAAATCAGAGAGGAGGACATAAAGAAGACAGCGTTCCACGGGCCAGACGGGCTGTACGAGTGGCTGTACATGCCATTTGGATTGAGGAATGCGTCAGCCGTGTTCCAGAGGGTTATGGATGCGGTGCTGCGAGATGTGGAATGCGCGGCCTGCTACATAGATGACGTGGTGATCTTCAGCACCACTGAGCAGCAGCACCTGCAGGATGTGGCTAAGACGCTGGCGGCGCTAGAGGCAGCAGGGCTGACATGCCACCCCAAGAAGTGCAGGTGGGGGGAGCAGACGGTGCAGTACCTGGGATATGAGGTGAAAGGGGGGCAGATTGGGATCCAGCAGGCGAAGGTGGAGGTCTTGGACAGGCTGCGGGAGCCCAAGGACAAGTCCGGGCTAAGGGCAGTGCTGGGTTTCCTGAGCTATTACCGGCGGTTCGTACCCAACTTCAGCAAGCGAGCAGCAGCGTTGAATGGGCTACTAAGGGAGGATAGGGCCTGGGAGTGGGGGGAAGCACAGAAGGGGGCGTTGCAGGACTTGATGACAGCAGTGAAGACCGCCACCGTACTGCAACTGCCAGCCGCGGACCAGCCCTTCACCCTCTACACCGACTGGAGCAGCCAAGGATGGGGGGGATCCTTTGTCAAGAGGTGCAGGGAGAGGAGAAGGTGGTGGCTTACGCGAGTAGAAGCTGCAATTCGGCAGAGGCGCAGTACAGTTCCTACATCGGAGAGGGGCTAGCAGCAGTGTGGGCTGTGGGGCACTTCAGGGTATACTTGCAGGGCCGGGAATTCACCTTGGTAACGGATCACCAGCCCTTGACATGGCTGATGACGACGCCGGGGTTGACGGGCAGGAACGCACGGTGGGCAATGAAGCTGCAGGAATATGACTTTCAGATCAGACACAGGCCGGGGAAGACCCTACAGCACGTGGACGGGCTCTCCAGGAACCCCCCACCACTGGAACCTACAGTGGCATTGACTCTGCTGGCCAGACAGGTGGAGCTGAACGGGGGAAGGGGAAGCAAGGGGCCAGCAGATATCTGGGAGGATGCACAGGCCATGCGGTGGGTAAAGGGGGAGACAGGGGAGGATGAAGCAATGCCAGAGAGGGTAAGAGCAAGGGGGCACCACTATAGGTGTTACCAGCAGCAGCTGCAGATACAGACGGAGGAGGGATGGAAGTTGGTGCCAGCCCCGGCCGAGAGGGAAGCTGTGATCAAGGAGGTGCACATGAAGCTGGGACATTTCGGGCATGAAAGGACAGTGCAGTTACTGAAAACGGGGTGGTGGTGGGAGGGGATGCGCAGACAGGTGCAGAAGTGGGTGGAGGGCTGCGAGGAATGCCAACGAAGCCGGGCCAACCTCAGCCAAGCTAGGGCCGAGCTGCAGTCCTTGCCCATCCGAGGCCTGGGATTTAGATGGTCCCTAGATCTAGCCGGGGAGCTGCCGCTGAGCCGGGGAGGAAAGCAGTACATAGTGCTGATGGTGGAGCACGTAAGTAAGTGGCTGGAAGTGCGGGCTATCCCCAGCAAGAGCTCGAGGCATGTGGCAGCAGAGTTCAAAGAGCAGGTGGTATGCAGATTTGGAGCATGTGCAGAGGTGCTCACCGACCAGGGGACAGAGTTCCAGGGGGAGTTCAAGAAGCTGTTAGACGAGGCGGGGATTACTCACAGGCGCAC